TCACTGATGATGTTCAACTTCGTCCGGGTTAAGACTTCTCAGAATTTCGGTGAAGCACGAGAAGAGTTGAGTTCTGGAAACCTACAAGCAGATCTCGCAGTCTATGCGGAAGACGACCATCCGCAGCTGATTGCAACCTTTTTGATACTAGGTGAATGCAAGAGATGGTTTTTTTTTCAAACGACACTATAGAACCACCCATTGCTAAGAAAATCCAGAAATAATTCCAGAACTTTAGAAAAAAAGTTTTTTATATTCGCCCCATAGCACTAACCTCGTGCCCAGCTTCTTTCTCGAGATCACTTTATAGAGATAAAAACTCATTCCACTCATCATGAGTCGACATCCAATCTTCTTCGATCAGCATTCAACGGAGTTCTACAAGAGAGGCATCGAACAGCTTCTAGTGCGTTGGCAATAGGTTGTAGATATTGATGGTGTGTAGCATGCTGGATGAATGGAACAAAAAGATAATAAAATATTAAATTCAAAATTTAGCCAGTTTGTTGCAAGACTTATGGACCAACCTAATGAATTTACGACAAAAAAGCAACCCATTTCAAATTAACCAGGATGGTGAGTGGTACACGAAAGAAGGAAAAACCATGAGAAACGGCCCAGAACCCGAGAAATGGGACCCCTTCCTTGCCCGTTGATTTGCGCATTGATGCGACTCTCATCGCTGTGCCCTCTTCAACACTACGCTCTCTCTGCTATCTAATCACTCGCCACGTATAGACCTGCGGCGAGTGATTAGATAGTCGGTGGGCGTACCCCGCCAACCGCGCCAAGAGTGAGCCATGCTAGATCGCCGAGGTCAAATCTTTCGCTGCCAATTGCGTGTCAGTCAGCACCCTCAAGAGACCATCCTGTCTCCTCACTAGGCAATTTCCCCTTCTTCGTTCTCAATTCGTTCAGAATTGCAAAAATGGCTCCTTTGAGGATTTTTGTCCGAGTACCGCTGGAGAGTTCTCCTTTGCTACATTAGTGCGACTTTTTTTTTCAACGGCCATAACTTCTTTCAGGGACGATTGTACAAAAGTGAAAGCAGATTAGAAAACCAACAAGCTTTTTTCTTCCAACAAGTTGAAAGCATTTAGCATATCTCAACTTTCAAGATTAAATGTTTATAAAAATTGACGCTGGAAACTGCATTTGTTTTCGAAAGTGGAATCCTCCCTGTAATTTCACACAGACCCTTTCAGAATCCTCTTGATTTTTCCTGAATTGAGATTTTTTCTGAGAGCCGTAGTTGAAGCGCGCGCAACTAACTGGGCCCACTCTGGGATGCGCCGTGTGCTTCACATCCCTTCAGATTTGTGGACTCATTCTAACGATAAAGTATCCGTCGGTTTTTAAGCGTTCCGTTATAATTCATTGAAGTGGCTTGAAATTATTACGGGGACTCCTCTGAGCAAAGGAACTTGTATGTGGGGGGGGGGGAATAAAATTGTTATTATAAATCCTTGGCCAAGCTAGCACAGCATCGATCATTCCTTGATGTTTTTTTCTCCGACAGTGATGATCCTACTGCATCGATCCGGCCTGACCCCTCCCTCCCAGCGAACCGAATACGAGCACCCCTGTCGATCAGTCGATGATTTCTCAACGCACGCTTGACCCCGCTATCGAATGCGGACTACAAACTCAAATTTCGAAGCTTCGAGTCATGGTGGTCAGTGGTGGTCAGTATCCCACCTCCCCTTCTGTAAATGGCGCATCGACATTGACCTATAA